CTGAAGAATTTATGACTATAAATCTGCACCTCCGAGGTTAACAATTGCAGATTGTTTTATGAGTCTCAATTTTTTTGGGATAAGAAACAGGAATGTATGAAAGATACAGTAACTTTATTATCACTCTCAAATGAGTGACACTGGTGCAGTGTTGTGCCATAAAGTATCTCCTGCACAAATTGTAAAGCAGAAGCATCACACCAATCCTATATGTATTTGTCTGCCTTTTTTTGACGTGGAAATAATTTCTGCTATTTCTTGTTTGGTAGGCTGTTGAGTTCAGCCGGTTGGTTGGGTCATTGAGGCCAGATGAAACAGAAGATGTTATTGTCTCTGCCTGTCAGAAACTCATTGCTATCTTCCATCAGCGCCCAGAGCAGAAAATTGTTTTTGTTACACAGCATGGTTTGATCCCTCTAATGGAATTGCTTGAAGTACCTAAAACTCGCGTATGTGGATCCTTTTTTTACCTCTCTGGTCATGTTTATGAGAAATACAAAAGATGGATGCCCACTTTTCAATTAGCTTTATGATAGCTGTATGTGATTGTTGTTTCCCACTTTTGCAGGTTATATGTTCTGTGCTTCAAATTATAAATCAGATAATCAAAGATAATACTGATTTCCAAGAAAATGCTTGTCTTGTGGGTCTGGTGAGTTGTAATGCATTCAGGTTTTTATGTTTTGTTATTCTGCAGTTGCATCTTGCTTGTCTCTGACCATGGCAGTAGGTACTGATATTGGCAGCACTGAAAAGTGAATCAGTTTTCTCTACAAGCACATACATCCTTGTTTGTTTATTCCCTCTATCGTGGTCTTTTATCTCTATCTGAGAGTTGTATGGTCTAGACATTTGTGTTAGGTATTAGTTATGCAGCTTTAATTCTTATTGCTAACTTATACGACAGATCCCAGTGATAATGAGCTTTGCGGTTCCTAATCATTCCCGGGAAATTCGTATGGAAGCAGCTTATTTCTTACAGCAACTTTGTCAGTCAAGGTTGTGTTCCCTTCTGTAGTTAGTCATAGTTTTCTTCCATAATTATTCACCAGAAAATCGAGCTTGAGGTTGACATTGAGGATTTTTTGTGCAGCGCGCTGACATTGCAAATGTTCATAGCTTGCCGTGGAATACCTGTTTTGGTGGGCTTTTTAGAGGCTGACTATGCAAAATTCAGGTTGGTACTTAGTGGGTTTCCCTGTTTGTTACTGTTAATTTTTAGGTCAATTTCGATAGTTTACAAACAATGACACAAGTACTTTGAAGTAACCTAATAAAAAATTAGCTAACTTTCTGTGGCCTCCCTCTTTTGTGGGGTGGGTGGGGTGGTTATTCTCATGGAAGTAATGCCACAGAGGACATTTTTAATTGTTTGAAACCTGAACTCCTTATTAGAAGTAGTCAGACCATTTGGCTGTGAGGATTGCTTGTGACTGAATAACAAATGTATTCTGTTTTCAATCTTATTATGGATAGTTTAGAATACTTCTGTCAAATTTTTATTAGACTTCTTTCTATCCAGGGAAATGGTTCATCTAGCAATTGATGGTATGTGGCAAGTCTTTAAGCTTCAGCGGTCAACTCCTAGAAATGATTTTTGTCGCATAGCCGCAAAGAATGGAATACTGCTGAGGCTCATTAACACCCTTCATAGCTTGAATGAGGCAACCCGCCTAGCTTCCGTATCCGCTGGGGGTGGATTTCCACTAGAAGGTTCAGCTCAGCGCCCACGGTCTGGTTCATTAGATTCTGGTCATCCGATTTTTTCTCAGAGTGACACACCGCTTCCTACAACTGATCAACATGATCCCTCCAAGGTTAGACATGGAATGATTGATTTTCATTTGTCAACTGGAACAGCAGAACCTGCACAGTGCTTCAACTTCAAACTCTCAAAGATCAGATGCTGATCAATCAGATCCAAGATATCTTCATCTAGATACTGATAGAGCTCAATCTAGCAATGTGGTAGTGGAAGCTTCAGTTCCTTCTAAATTGACAGACTCATCATCAGTAGACAAAGTAGTAAATATTACAACCAAGGAACCTTCAACTACCTCTCGAGATCTAGACCTCAGGCAGCAGCGACCCGCTAATTCTTCTAGTAAGGCATCCACAGATAGACCTCCAAAAATGATGGAAGGTACATCGAACGGGTTTTCAACAACAGTAACTACTCAACAGGAGCAAGTTCGTCCCCTTCTTAGCTTGTTAGATAAAGAACCTCCTTCCAGACGCTTTTCTGGTCAGCTCGAGTATGTACGCCACCTGCCAGGTTTGGAGAGACATGAAAGTATATTGCCCCTTTTACATGCTTCTAATGAAAAGAAGACAAACGGAGAATTAGATTTCCTGATGGCCGAATTTGCCGGTAACAGTCTTTATCTAATTAGTCGTTAACTTTATGACCTGTAAACAAGTCTGTCATTAGGAATCTTTAAGTTTTATAATCTGTGAACTATATAGAGACCGCCTCTATTCGTGTTAGGATCTAATGAATCAAACACAAGTTTTTCTCCCACTCCTATTGAACACATAAGTACCAAAAATCAATTTTAATTGCTTTCTTTTTCCATAATGTTTTTTACTTACTTGTAGCCTTGGAAATTAGGTGGGCCTATTTCATCTGTTTCCATGTATAACTGATTTCTTCATTATTTTGCAGACGTCTCTCAACGTGGTAGAGAAAATGGGAATGTTGATTCCACTGCTAGAGTTTCTCATAAAACGATAAATAAAGAGATGGGAACACTAGCATCTATCAAAGGAGCTGCTTCCACCTCTGGCATAGCATCTCAGACAACATCAGGAGTACTTTCTGGTTCTGGAGTTCTAAATGCCAGACCAGGCAGTGCAACATCATCAGGTTTACTTTCCCACATGGTTTTAACATTGAATGCAGATGTTGCGAGGGAATACCTAGAAAAGGTGGCTGATCTTCTGCTTGAGTTTGCACAGGCAGATACTACTGTAAAGTCATACATGTGTAGCCAAAGTTTGCTCAGCCGTCTCTTCAAGATGTTCAATAGGGTGGAGCCCCCTATTCTTTTGAAGGTACTTTAAAAAATCTCCATTAATCCAACTCATCATTGATTTATGTTATTGTAACCTTGATAATGTTGGTGCTCTCTGCTCTGTCATTGTACAGATACTGAAGTGTGTAAACCATTTGTCAACTGATCCAAACTGCTTAGAGAATCTTCAGCGGGCAGAAGCAATTAAATATTTGATTCCAAATCTTGAACTAAAAGAAGGAGCTCTTGTATCTCAAATACATCATGAGGTGGGCAATCTATCTTATTTCTAACGTTAACATTGGATTGTTGGCTAATAAGCTGTGCATCTTATTGTCGTCGTTGTTTTAAACAAAAAATATGTGACCCCCTTCTGTCCTTAAATGTGGAGTATTTTAGTCTGTACGGATATTAACTCTACATAGAATGTTGATGATAAGAAAGGAAACTTCGTAACATAAAATGACTCAGTTCTAACTGCGTCGTTCTCATATTATTTTTAGGTACTCAATGCCCTGTTCAATCTGTGCAAGATTAACAAGAGAAGACAGGAACAAGCAGCTGAGATTGGAATAATTCCACACTTAATGCACTTTATTGAGTCTAATTCTCCTTTGAAACAATATGCGTTGCCTTTACTGTGTGATATGGCTCATGCATCACGTAATTCGAGGGAGCAACTAAGGGCTCATGGTGGGTTGGATGTTTACTTAAGCCTTCTCGAGAATGAACTTTGGTCTGTGACTGCATTGGATTCGATTGCTGTGTGCTTGGCTCATGACAATGACAACCGGAAGGTGGAACAAGCATTATTGAAAAAGGATGCAGTTCAGAAATTGGTGAAATTTTTCCAGTGCTGTCCAGAACAGTATTTCGTGCACATCTTGGAGCCATTTTTGAAAATTATCACGTATGCGATTACATATCTAGTCTATTTACTTAAAATTGATTACTGTCTTTTTAACCTTCTGCATATAAACTTATTGATTGATTATAATTGGCAGTTGAAATTTTACCCTTTTTTATGCGTCTGTCTGGAAGACTTTCATTATCTTTAGGTTTACAGAACTCCCCTTTTCCTTTGTGGACATAACAACTGCTTCTCTTTCTTTTGCAGGAAATCATCTCGAATTAATACAACGTTAGCTGTTAATGGTTTGACACCAGCTGCTTATCACAAGACTGGACCATCAGGATGCTATTGCCCGTCTAAATCTTCTTAAACTGATAAAGGTTTGGGAATCATTTACTACTCTGGAAGCTATTAATTTGCTTCCGATTGTTAATGTTATTATAAATCTGACTGGCAGGCTGTTTATGAGCACCACCCGCGGCCAAAGCAATTGATTGTGGAGAATGATCTGCCTCAGAAGCTTCAAAATCTAATAGAAGAACGCAGAGATGGGCAACGATTGGGTGGCCAAGTGTTGGTAAAACAAATGGCTACCTCGCTGCTTAAAGCACTACATATTAACACCGTCTTGTAGATTCAGCCAGGCTCCGCTCTATTTCTTTTTTGACATTGTAGATTTGATTCTTTAGGGAAAGTGTATTTATGGGTTTTTTTTCGGTTTCTATGTTTTAGTTTCATCTTATTGTGTTTGGTGAGGGAGGGTGGCCATTGAGCTCCTTTGATTGGCGTTATTTGTTTGGTTTACATATAAAAGTTGTCCATGTTTTGTTTTCCTTTTTCTTCAACCCCCTTTGTTTGTACAAACATTTCAGAGGTGTTTTGATCACTTGAATATTGTGATATTTTGATTACTGATATTCGCCTATGGACACATTAAAATTCGGTCATTCAGAATATGGGCAAATTGCAGCTCATCCCGAGAGTTTTTTTCGGAATTTCGGTATACTATTAGGGCATCCTTCCCGGTGGTTCAAGCTGTCACAGGTGAATCAAACCGTTGAAGCAAAAAGTAGTTGCCCCGTCCGCCCTGACCTGACCTGTTAATAGTCATCACGGTTCTCGTACACATTAGGAAACATAAAACCTGAATTTGCTACCAAATATGATAAAACCAAACACGATACAACTCATCACCGTGCTCGGTCTTCAAACATTGTGCTTTAAATCTGTCACACCAGCCTAAGTTAAAACGTTTAACGTTACAGCATAAGTAAACAAAATATCATTTTAACTTCTGATAGTGTACAATCCATTGCAAAATAAAGCCACGAGAACTGCACAAATTAGTCAATCGACATCAGAAAAACCAATCCACATCATTTGCACACAGGATGGCAAGCAACTCTCATATCAAGTCCGCGACATTCATCGGCATTTCATCAATCTGAGTACTGTAATACTGCTCAATGTCTCTTAGAATCTTAATATCATCACTTTTGACAAAGTTTATTGCCACACCCTACCAAAAACAAACAAATTTCCCGTATTAATCAACAAATAAACAAACAGAATCTCTTAAACGTACTTTCTGAATCAAAATTTTGATTCAGTTAATGAGGAAAACAAACCTTGCGCCCGAAACGGCCAGAACGACCAATCCGATGAATGTATAGCTCTCGATTGTTTGGAAGATCATAATTGATAACCAAAGAAACCTGATGAAGGCAAAATTATCACGATAAGAAAAGCAGTTTAAGGATTATATGAAGGTAACTAAAAACAGTCCTAGTTAAAGGTTCTCTAGGCCCTCCAGCTAGTACAAAAGTCATTAAAAATACTCTCTAAAACACTGCTTTAATTCGTAAACATTTCTCTGGGATAAATTTGGAGACCAGGTTATTTGGTTCCGACTACCAAGTGAACAAGCTAAATGGATCTCAAATATCTCACTATATTTGAATAGTTAGCAAAATAAAGTCAAAGTCAAAAGATGATAGATTCTAAATAAAGATTGAACAATTATGATAAAAAATAACTTGCCTGCTGAACGTCAAGGCCCCGGGCCCAAACATCGGTTGTGATCAGGACACGAGTATTACCACCACGAAACTCGGCCATAATAGCATCTCTTTCCTTCTGAGGCATGTCTCCATGCATTGCAGAGACAGTAAAGTTATTACTCCTCATCTTTTCGGTGAGCCAGTCCACCTGCCAGCAAAGTTGAAATAGTGATGCACCAGGGAATGGAATGTTAGTCAACCAGAAAAGGAATGGCAGTGTGCCAAAAGGATAACTATTACAAACAGAAAATTTTGCACGCATCAATTCCACCTGACACATTAAATTCTAAAGGTTGTGTGTATCGATGTATAACCAGTAGGCACTCATGATAATATTAAATCAGGAATAATGCATATGAGAACATATAATCTCTCCGCAAGCATCTAATAGGTCAGGATCCCATTTTATATTTCTACTTTGCACACCAAATCAATAACCTAACTACAGACTTGAAACCTTTATTTTCCCTTATTTGTAATCAAACAGTTTACCTTTCGCTTTGTGTTGCAGAATATAACAGCTTGTGTAATTGTAAGGGTATCATAGAGATCACAAAGAGTATCAAACTTCCATTCCTCTCTTTCGACGGCCACGAAAAATTGCTTGATTCCCTGTCATCACAAAACACACGTTTATTACAAATTTCCCATTGCACAGAAAGGCATCATACGTACAACTATACGAAACAGAAGCACTGCGTACCTCCAACGTCAACTCATCACGTTTGACAAGGATCCTTACAGGTTCAGTCATAAACTTGTTGGTCATCTCCAAAATTTCAGTGAGGAAGTGTAGCAGAAATCAAGCAAACCTACAATGTCACAATTGGTTTTAGTTTCAGAGAGAAATACTTATTTGGACAATAGTCAGAACGTAACAATGACCGGTGTATACAAAGATGACCGCCATAAGCACATGTACTAGATATAGATATGTGAAGGAGAGAAAAAAGACCTGGAGCTCAGGAGGAAGATATCTGTAGACATCATAAATCTGATCCTTGAATCCTCTGCTCAACATTTCATCAGATTCATCCTGCAAAACCGAACCAAACCCAAAAAAAATCAAAACAGAGATCAATAAAACTAAAAGGGAAAAATCCAAAATTCACAGTTACAAAGCAAAAGAAAGGAAATAAGAGACTGACAAGAACTAATAATTTGATGGCTCGAGTTCGGAGAGTTCTTCTTTTGATCATATCACAGACTCTGCCAGGAGTTCCAGACACCACATGAACGCCATACTCGAGCTTTCGGATATCCTCACCCACGCTTTTGCCTCCAATGCAAGAATGCGCTTGTATATTTATGAAATTCCCAATTGCTAATATCACCTTCTCAGTCTGCGCCGCCAATTCCCTCGTCGGAGACAATATCAAAGCCTGAACCCTATACAATACATACATATATATACATACACAAAATGAAATTAAAATTTTCCCGAGAAACAAACAGACAAACAAAAGAAACAAACGCTAGGTCTCAAAATTAGAGCTGACGTACTCTCGGGAGGAGGTGTCGACAAGCTGACAGACGGTGAGGGCAATCATGGAGGTCTTGCCGGTACCGGACTGGGCCTGGGCAATGACGTCGCGACCCTCTATGATGGGCCTGACGGCCCGTTGCTGGATGGCGGAGGGCTTCTCGAAGCCGTAGTTGTAGACGCCTCGGAGGAGATCGTCCCTTAAACCCATCTGATCGAAGGTCATGATGGGCTCTATCCCATCGGAAGTCACGAACTCCAGCTTCTCATCCCCCATTCCTCCGACGCGTCTCGCCGGTGCCTCTTCCATGGCTCTGACGTTCCGACGACGACGACTATCGAGCAGGTGCGTAGTTGTCCTTAGGGTTTGTTTGGCTGCCCTTGTTTCTCTGGATAACGATTCACGCGAGTCAGAGGCGCAAGCGACGGAAGGCGTCGAGGGTTTTATAAAGGGAACTTTAAAAAAGCTAAACCATATTTTTAGATTAAAAAATCAATTTTAGTACTATTTATTTTATCTTTATCGTTAAAATTTAAAGTTTTCAAATTTTTTTTATTATTTTTTCTTTTTATAAACTCTAGACCGAATTATTAGGTAACTTTTCAAGTAATTTTTTTAAATTTACAATTTTAATGTTGTACGAGAGATATTTTGATGTGCCGAAACGAAAGATGGTACTTATCATAATACAGTCGCTTGAAAATATGACATGACTCAATTACAAGGCACTCACACATTAAGCAAAGATGACAACAGAATATATTGTTGAATTTGCTAGGTCATACTTGCTTTCGTAACAAATCGATACAAGCACAATTTGTTAAAACGTGAAAAATCTGAACACGAAAATTAAGCTAGCTACGTAATAGGGAATCAACTTTCTTGTTGACAGAAGCAGAGAGGAACTTCATGCAGATAGGAGGTTTGACAGACGCAAGGGACAGTATAGCAGCCGGAACGCCCCACAAAGATTCACCGCAGATGAGACCCGACGCCACAGCTGGCCCGTAGTCATTGGCCTTTTGCCTGTTCTTCCTCCGCCACAAGTAGAGGATCAAGCTTCCCACGCACATGTCAATGGCGAAGTAGGAACCCAGGTAGAATGGGATGGCCATGCACATTGGGTTCGGAATGAACCTATGGATCCTGTACTTTGTTTCGTAACGCTGCAATAGCTCATTGATTATGTTCATCGCGACTGCAGCTGCAAAAAACTGAGACTGCAAGCGTCACGCAGTTTTTGGGGAGGGAACCGACACCCTCAACTCCAAGGAGTGCAATGCCGCGGTACATTAGGCCGTAGGGTGCAGGATAAGGGCCGTCTGGATTGCCAATTGAGTAAGCTTTGTAGAAAAACCAGAATATTAGTGGAGACATGACGCATCCCATTGCTGTGCCAAAGACTTGGCTGAAGAACATAGAGCGAGGGGACGACAGCGTGAGGTATCCTGTCTTGAAGTCTTGCATGAGATCAGAAGCGGTTGAGACAATACTCATCATCACACCGCAAGAAGCAAGGCCGGCAATGACACCACCACGGTCAAGGCCAACCCAAGAGCTGAAGATTATGATGGCGAATTTGCCATAGTTGGAGGCAAGAGACCAATCGGTGAGGCCACAGCCGTAGGCATTGCAGAAGGCCAAGACTGGGGCAATCAGATAAGCAACCAACACATGGTACCATTTCAGTTGGGGGAAGATCAAGGGTACTACACCGATGGATATGGCTGCAAGCACAATGTAGCCAGAGAAAGCAACCCAGCTGGGGATTTGGTCTTTCAAGAAGTACTCGATTCTCCGTTCTTCACCATAGTCTGCAGATACAACTTCTGAGGACCCTCCCGCTTCAACACTGTCATGGTTTACGGATGGTGATGATGTCTCTAGTTTCTTCTCTGAGTTGTGTGTCATGAGACTTTTCGTGGTCATGAAGAGCATGTAGACTACATGGAACAAACCGTCACCAAGCATCATGGCTATAGCAATAAAAACCTGCAGCAAAATAAGAACATCCAAATATTATTAGAGATAATCTCAATTAGCAACATTATTTAAATTGCAACTTTCGAACACATTTATGAAGATATTAGAAATTCATCAATCTATAGATGGCGGCAGAGGAAGTTTTAGTTACGACCCTGTATCCTTGGATGCCATGGAGACTGCTGGCGGATAGATTAGCGTTGTACCAGATACCTTTCTTTGTCTCAATCAAGGGCCACATGATTCCCCATGAAATAATGGCTCCAACAAGCAAAGATACGTTGACCATGATAGGGCAAATCATGCCTACACCAACATATGTCGATGAGAAATCAAAGTAAAACCTGCAAGTTTTGTGATCCGAGTTATTAGTGAAATCGAGGCATTCACGAGGACAGCATAATGATACGAAAACAAGGGAATTAATATATGGAAAGAATTGTGCATATACTTGTGCGCATAGGCTTTGAGACCAAATGTTGGGAAGCTGGAAAATCCGCAGCCATCAGCAGCAGCGAAAAACCATTGGAAAAAGGCAAACACAAAGGTGAAGCAGAAGGTTTTGAAGAGCACAGCAACTTGTTTCCTACATTCATTGGTAAGAAGAACGTATACAATTAGCAGACTGATTAGGTTTAATTAGACAATGAACATCTACAAGTCAAGGCAAAGCGGTTCTAACTTTGCCAGCTTAGCTCCTTTGGGTGTGTGAAAGCTGTTGATGAGGTATGCAGTTGCAGTTCCACTCGGGTACGTTAACTTGTACTTCATGATCATCATCTGTTGGAAATTAAAGAAAATTAGACCAAAAACCAAATTAAACGAACAAATCTTCATGTATATATTTGTGAGTGTTGATTAAGTTTTAATTTCCAATTACCTTTCTGAGGGGCATAATCGAAAACAGCCCGACGAAGCTGACAGCGAAGAGAAACCCAATCATCCATCCAACATCAAGTTTCTTTATGTTGATTGGGGTGTTGCCTTCATCTCCTTGCGCAGCAATCTTTGCACTCATTCCCAGTAAATAACTTGCAGTTCCACCTATTTAATCATGACACAAATTACAATTATTAGATCATTAATGTAAACTAATACAGTGATTTACAAATATTATATTATTTTCTTGCATGCAAACCAAATTAGAGATTCATAACACAATTCTCTACTATATATCGTATTTGGAAGATCTAGAAATAATCAATTTTATCGATATGATCAGAACTGAATGATCGATGAGAAACAGTTATTAATGGCGATGAATTTGATTAGAAAAGAGACTAATGAACATACTGCTAAAGGCGATCCCGGAAGAGGCGACGACGCAAGTCTGGATGACGGTGTTTTCCTGGCGAGTGAAAGGCTGCTTCAAGAAGCCGCACCTGTCGATCATGGCGGTGTAGCCTTTCACCACCGCGAAACCGAGCAGTCCCGCAGCGACGTTGAGCGAGGGAATGACGCCGGTGGTGAGGTTCAACTTACAGACGATGAAGTTGAAGACAATGCTGAGGATGAAGCTGGTGACCATCGATCTCACCGTAATCTGCTTGGTCCAGGGCGGCACCGCCGTGTACTTGAACGCCTCCTCCACATTCACCTTCTTTTTGGTATTTCCGGCAGTGCCCTTCTGTTTGGCATCCGAGTCGTCACTCTGGGTATCACCGCCTTTGCTAAGGCTTCTCTCCATGATTCGATTCGATCAATTTTTGGGTGTCTGAGAGCGTGGAGGAGGCCTATGTGTGAGAGTGGAAAATCTGAGCCAGCTAGGATTCGGAGTGGGATTTGGGACCCGGAAAACAGAATCCGGAATCGGGTACAAGTACCTACTAGGTAGGTTTGATTCAGTAAACACAGATTAAAATTTAATTAATTAATTAATTTTTTTTAGATTAAGGAGGAATTGAATGGACAAGAGGCTTTCAAGCGTGACAGTTTCCATAATTGGCATAATTTCCTTAAATTTAGATCTATTATTCTGTTTAGTTTCCATTCTTGAACTGCAAGTAAGCAATGCATGTGAACAATTGAGATTTTCAAAAGTTAGTTCCTTTTCCGTTTCACATACAAATTTTAGAGTACATTTTATATGATTCGCGGCTGCCAGAATAAATAATCTCCGCAGAACTCACACGGGAAACAAATCAATATTTAACTCGAAAATTATATCCTCGTGTACCAAGGAGAATGATGTTACAACAAAATTGCCATCTAGGAAATGGATATTACAACATTAGTTGAAAATGCATTGACTGCTTGTGCTGCCCTTTAGATCCCAATCCGAGCTCCTCTACGGTGCTGCTAACCTCTACGCCGCCTACGACAATTTAACTCGCCGTCGACTCAACTCTCTATCCTGTTTTATTCACTCAGATTTCTTGAACCCAAGACCCAGAACCTCATCTTAGGTGGTGGGGTTGGCTTCAAACAAAAAGAAAGAGGTGGGGGACGGCAGAAAGGGAGAAATAAATTATTAAAAAGAAAGGAAATTAAAAGGACACGATGGGTAAAGAGGCGATGCCAGCAGGGAGAAGAAGAGCCATGGAATTGAAAGCTAACAGAGAAAAAAACGAAGGGGAATAGGGGGACGGCAGGAAATAAAAATGGACTCATATTTATCCATCACACATTTCTCTCAATTTGCCTTGGTCAGATCAAATAAATTTTAAAAGATTAATAGACAAAAATTAATAAAGTGCGTGCAAGATAAAAAGATCAATGAAAATTAAATTCAGGATTTTCGACCGTCAAATGATCCACAGTATTTTCGCACGAGTTTTCCAAATGAAGATAATTAGAAATTAAAATTTTAAAACCGTAAAAAGATTATAATAGCAACATCATAGCCATAATATTAAAAGATTCCACAGTATATTGGAGATTCCGCAATTCCCTTTATATATGGTGACAATGTACATCCTCGAAAGTTTCTCCCCAATGAAATTCACGTATTTTTGCTCCCTATTCTATTCGAAATTAAATTAATAATTTAGTTGTTAGACTTTGTCACCTCCTCTACTTAAAACCAAACCCCCCATTGTTCTCCATCGCTCTCTCTCTCTCTCTCCCTCCCCCTCTGTTTTGCCGTTCTTCTCTCTCTCAGCCTCTCTGTCTGGAGAACCATCCTCCTGTTCGTTCGTGACCATGTCTCTCCTCTCTGATCTCATCAACCTCAATCTCTCCGAATCCACTGAGAAGACCATCGCTGAATACAGTTTGGTATATGCATGCCCACCTCCTTTGATTTATTTTACGTAATGTTATCCATCGTTAACGTTCTCTGTCTTTGTTTTTCTTTCTCTTCTTATAGGATTGGAGGATCTGGTTTGGACTTGAGAAGCAAAGCAAAGGTAGGCCTTCCTTGTTGTTCTTTGTTTTAAACGAGCCGGAAAAATCGATACTTAGGACCTCAGATATAGGGTAGCTAATTTTCATATTTACAAGCTAACATGGAATTAATTTAAAATTTAATTTTTACTTATTGTTTTATGGACATGAAAAAACAGACACTGCCCGGAGTAGTAACGGACCCATCAGAACTGCCCAAGTGGAACTACGACGGCTCAAGCACAGGCCAAGCCCCAGGGGATGACAGTGAAGTAATCCTGCAGTACGTATCTGCAATCTTTAATCTAATCCCTTCATTTTTCTTTTCTTTTTGTTTGTTTTGAAACTGACACTTGGACTTTTGCTGCTTTAGCCCCCAGGCTATTTTTAGGGATCCATTCCGAAGAGGAAAAAACATCCTGGTAAACATCAAACGAAATCCACGTCTACGTTTTCGTTTTCTTTTTAATTGTTGGTTTATCCGATTAATCAGTTTGTATCTTAAAAAGTTGAGGGTGTATAAATATCGTTTTTTTTTTTTTTTTTCCTCAATAAAAATAGGTGATATGTGATGCGTACACACCGGCCGGCGAGCCGATCCCCACCAACAACAGATTCAACGCTGCCAAGATATTCAGTCACCCCGACGTTGTCGCCGAGGATCCTTGGTAAGCCATCCATTATCTCTAAAATATTAATTCTATGTTCTATATTAGTACTGGCTAAGAGTTATTTACTCCAAAATCGTATCAATATCTTTGCTTTTTACGGGCCGTACGGTTACACGTAACTGTCAACTGCTGACGTATAGTCTTTGTTCTTTCCAGCACTTTTATCACCATTGACGACGTTAACAAAGCGTTATCTTTAACAAAGAATTATGTTTTGTTTCATGTCAATTGTAATTATAAAATGTAGGTTAGGGACAAGCTTAATTATTGGATTAGTTTTGTTATTTTTGCTTATCCTCCTAATCACTTGGGTTAGATCGACCCGTCCAACCTATATAGTTGTTGGAAGGATTGACCTGGATCAAAAAACTGCAGAAGCATTAGAGAACAATTAATCAAGTTTTATTCACTAAATGATATATCACTCGGTTATTTATTCAAATTTTGACTAATTTTTAACCTCGTCCGTTTTTAACATGTACAAACACATATTTGATTACATGTTAAATATTTTTAGAATTCTCCATTGCACATCCAACAATTAGTGCCTCTTACTGATGACATTTCTTATTGATTAGGTACGGCATCGAGCAAGAGTACACTCTTCTGCAGAAGGATATCAATTGGCCGCTTGGATGGCCAATTGGTGGGTTCCCGGGTCCACAGGTACTTACATAATTTGCTATGATTAATGTTATCAAGATCAATTTTCGTATGCTTCAAAGTTCCCTAACATGCCTAATTACTTGTTCTAGCACGAACCACAACATTTAGAAGATTGCTTATTAATTAACTGTTACGTTCTGTTTCTTGTATCTATCTATACGTATATATAGGGTCCCTACTACTGTGCTGCCGGAGCAGACAAGGCCTTCGGTCGCGACATTGTGGACTCACATTACAAGGCATGCCTCTATGCCGGAATAAATCTCAGCGGCATAAATGCTGAAGTTATGCCCGGGCAGGTATATATATACGCTCGCTTTTACCGTTTTACGTACTTAATTTGGTTGCTAAGAAATAAAATTGAGGGATTGAAAACCGCTTGTAATTTGGTCTGTTTGCTTATGCGGAGCAGTGGGAGTTTCAAGTCGGTCCTACTGCTGGTATTGCTGCTGGTGATCAGTTATGGGCTGCTAGATACATCCTTGAGGTAAGCTCTCATACGATATAACTAGAAAACGTATAATTTGAGTATTTTCACTCTCTTCTCTATAGTACATTAATTTTCTAAGGTCTCGTGTTAATATAATTATTTGCTTGACAAAACAGCGAATTACGGAAATTGCAGGAGTTGTCCTTTCTTTGGACCCAAAACCAATCCAGGTCTTTTTAACGCGCTTCATTTTCGCATAGTTATTCTACTCTGTATTGTTTACTTAAGTACTTTCTATGTATTTTTCCTTCTTGATCAATTTATACCAGGGTGATTGGAATGGTGCGGGTGCTCACACTAACTATAGGTACTCATTAATTAAGGCTTGAAATTAATTGGAATAATGCAATTTTGCAATCATGTTAGATGCAACCAACCCTCTAGTGCGTGTGTGTGTGATGAACTCTTTCTATGCCTTGCAGTACCAAGTCGATGAGAAATGATGGCGGAATTGACGTGATCAAGAAGGCAATCGAGAAACTGAGTCTGCGCCACAAGGAACACATTGCTTCCTACGGAAAAGGCAACGAGAGGAGATTGACAGGTCTCCATGAGACGGCTGACATCCATACTTTCTCTTGGGTAAGCTTATACCGCCGTGGTATAATCGCTAATACAAATCCACGTTTCTTCTTTTTGTTGAAATCATGTTTAGTAAACCTGCGAAAACAAGTATTAGTTGAACTTTGCATTCTCAATCACAGGGCGTGGCAAACCGAGGGGCTTCCATTCGGATTGGTCGCGAAACTGAGCAAGCTGGCAAAGGTATGAATGCATTCGCATTCGCATCCGCATATGCATCGTAGAATGTGAATGTTTTTGTGTCATTATCAATTTCGGAAACAGATCATTGTCGTAATGCTTGCGATGCAAGTTAGCTCTCAAGCTGATATCTGAACATGTCATATTTCTTCATAAATGTCAGGCTATTTCGAGGACAGAAGGCCAGCGTCGAACATGGATCCGTATGTTGTGACTTCTATGATCGCCGAAACCTCTATTCTCTTAAAGTGAGATTGAATCCTATTCGGAGGAAATGAGCTCTATCAATTGCAAATAACTCTATGAATCTCTCTCTCTGCTTGCCTGCATGCGGTTTGGCATGAGCATTTGCTGCTTTCTGTTGATTGGTTTATGTTCTAATGATTGTGTAATTGTTGATGTTTCAAATTACGTGTTTAGTGTTGTCTAAGGAGCTGTAATAAACAAGGGTAATTTAGTTAGAATTTTTTCCCTCCTTTTTTGTTTCAACTTTCAACTTTCAACTCAAGCATAAGATGAATGAAATACTGGTGTTTATAAATTAAATCATGTGATGATATTTAATCTATTTGGTAGCTTAGATATATGCTAATTGTCCAGATGCAACTTTCTTTGCTGATGGGTGATTAGTTCTTTCAACAAAGTTCAAAAGGACATCATATGAAGATACTACGTATGTAGTTAATGAAAAGCTCCGAAAACAGATTAATACACGATGTCAGTTATATAAGTATAAAATAAGTCATTCCCTTCGACAATTACAAAAATATACAGAACATAGATAGGATAGCTTGAACACGCGAAATCCTTTGGTCTTAGGTGAAAGAATTGGCCTAGGATCAAGCATATCCAACCTTTCAGCTCTCTAGCTACGACAAAGCATTATGATTGGTTAATGGATATATAAAAGTTGATGCTTTGTTGAGCACATATAGCTTCACATGGCTCCTTAAAATTTAAATGAAGCATGGTTAAGGCCCGTGCCCTTTATGGTTAACTAGCCTCTTGCCACACGCTTACGCATGTTGAAATTTGCTCTTTCACATTTTATTTTAATATTTAAAAACTGAACTTACATGTGTAATAAAAAGTAGATATGTCAATAACTACTCCCTTTTGTTAGAAAGCTTCACTCTTTTTGGCCTCTCACTTTATATATAGAATCGTAGATAGATAGGAGATAAAAAAGAAGTTGCATCTCCTTTAACTGCATTGACTGATAGTGGTGGAGAATTTGAACTTGGGCGAGTGTCTATTCAGTTCCAAATTCGAATTTTGGTTTGGGCCAAAAAATTATTGGTAAATAAACCAAAAGTTGGGTCCATGCAGTTTTTCCCAAGAAACCCTAACCCATATAAAGTGCGGCCCATAACCATAACTACGAAAACCTTTCCAATTTCACCGGACAAAAATCCAAACCTACACTCACTTACCCAAAAAATTAAAAAGAGAGAGACAAACTGAAAGATTTGATTCATAAACCTTGTTCCATTTTGGTAGCCCAGAAAAAAAAAAAAAAAGAAAGTGAGGAGAAGGTAGAGAGAGATCTTATCTCACAGCCTCTGTTTCTCTTCTTTCTCCAAAACCGTCGCCTCGCTTCCCCTACGGTTTTACCGCCTCCCTCTCTGTCTGTCTGTCTCTCCCCTTTATGGCCGCCGACCAACCTAGGGTTTGAAGTCTGAACCAACCTTTTACCTAAGGTACTTCTCTCTCTCATTGCCTGTAATTTATGCCTTTATTTTCGTGTTTGTTTGCTTGTATTGGGTTAAGCGTTGAATGATAAAAAATGAAAGCTCACTTCTCCTTGGTTGCTAAGATTGGTTTGTTTAGTTACTTAGCAGTTAGCGTGAAGTCTGCTTCCCGGAGGGAGCTGTAAAACTTACGGAGATGCTTTCCTTTTGTTTCTTTTTTCTGGGAAGTTGGAAGCAAAGTTTGAGTTAGAATGCCACAAAAGTTGAACAAAAGTGCTTGCAACGGTCTAAGTCTTCTGAAATTCATGCTATTTATTTCTACACCGGCGGTGCCTGGAATTAAAATTGAAAAGTTTGCTTCTTGTTATTCATATTCAGAGCCTAGAGAATATTAGATAGCTATAAACTTCTCTGTAATACGGTGGCATTGTCATACAAATCGTCTATATAGTAAATGGAAAAAGCAAATAATGCATTAAAACTTTGATTGGGAAGAATGTGTATTAGGCGACCCGTGTGGTTGGATATATTTGCAGATTATTGTCTCCATGTCAATAATCTTGCTTTTCCAGGAAAATGATTTTAGAAAGAATACTTTATAGCATGCCACAGTGTGTGAGTATCCTAGAAAATTCATGCAATATTTGATTCTTATGCTGCACATTTGAATTTTTATTCACTCACAAATTTAAATTACTACTGTAAACTGATTGAAGCATACTTTGCAGCGTAAAATTTGGAAAAAAGAAGTGATGATGCATGCAAGGAGACTAAAGTTTAGAAATCAGAGATGGGTGCTTCAAATGTCCAAATATTCAGCAACGCCTACCTACACTGTTCATGGTTCTTCTCAATCTTTGGGTCATAAAACAATTTCGGGAAACCACTGTTTTCATGGTAGTTTTATTAGAAGCCATCTCGTAGATTCATTCTTGTTGCGTAATGTTGCTCCTGGTTATAGCTGCACTGGTTTGCATGTAAGGTCTAATCCGTGTTTGAAGGGTAGCCAGTTACGTGCCTACAGTTCTGAAGGTGACGGAAGGAATGCAAATGAGGATAATCAAACACCAGTGAAAGGTGATGCGGACCTCGATAAAGGGAAGTCTTCTCAAGAAAAAGCAAAGGAAGATGGGAGGAGTGTGGATGCACATGCTCTGCTTGGGGAACAAGATCAAAAGGAATGGCTTACTAGTCAAAAGATTACCATTGAGAGTAAAAAGAAAGAGTCGCCTTTCTCAACTAAACGAGAGAAGTTCAAAAATGAGTTTTTGAGGAGGATTGTTCCGTGGGAGAAAATAACCGTGTCATGGGATACATTTCCTTACTACATTCAGTAATTGCTTCTCTTTTATGTTTTTGATTGCTTCTTTCTTATCACGTATCACTTATCAGAAGATTTATAGATTTATTTTCATTTTTTATAGTGAACCTACCAAAAACCTTTTGGTGGAATGTGCTGCTTCCCATTTGAAACATAAAAAGTTTACTTCCACGTATGGTTCTCGTTTGACATCTTCAAATGGAAGAATTCTGCTTCAGAGTGCTCCAGGTTGGTCACAGGTTCCACAAATCTAATCATTACCTTGTGTATTTCAAAGTTCCTCAAGTGGCTAATGTCTATAGTTAACTTTGTTTTGTAGAACTGAATGAAATTACCATTTATCTTGTTTATCTGCAGGCACTGAACTTTATCGTGAAAGATTAGTTAGAGCACTTGCACAAGATCTCAAAGTTCCCCTCTTGGTGCTAGACAGCAGTGTACTTGCTCCTTATGTAAGATTGAAATAAAATTAATATTACCCTGCCCCCTCTTCTCCTGGTACTCACACAGTTTGGTTTTAATAATTAATTTCTGTTCAAATGTGGAGTAGGATTTTGGTGACGATTGCGAATCTGAATCAGATGATGATGATATGGAGGAGAGTACTTCTGATTCAGAGATTGAGGATGAGAATGTTGCGAGTAACGAAGAAGATTGGACTAGTAGTAACGAGCCAAAATCAGATTCTAGTGATAAAGATGAAAGTGATGCGCACGCAAGGGCTGAAGCAGCCCTCAAGAAGCTTGTTCCTGTTGAAGAATTTACAAAGGTATGATTTATTTACATTTTTTTTTTTTTTTGGGAGCATAAGGGTTTTTGTATTCTTAGTCCTTCTACCCTAAGCATATTTCAGTGATTCAGAAAATTAAATGGTGATCTTATTGATATTGGGATTCTTTATATACTTTTTTGTAAATCATGATTTATAATCTATGGTTCATATGTGGCAGATGGTATCTGGGGAAACTGAGAGTTCGTCTGAATCCTCAAAATCAGAAACTGCCGAGTCTTCTGAGCAATGCAAACGACTGCTAAAGAAAGGTTCCATACATAGATTCTTACCATATGTTATATTCAAATCTTATATGTTTTGTGAGTTGATAAGAAGCTATATTTCTTAGGGTCGTTTAGGAGTGTTTATGTAGAAGTGATTTTAGTTATTAGTAATTTTGGTATTTTAAAAGTTTCATTGAAGACTGCAAGTGATTTTTGCGTTTTTCAAGATGATCACTTTTAAGGAGAAGCACCTCCCATGTGTTTCTCCATAAAACCACAAAAAGTGATTTTATTCTCACTAAAGCACTTTAAGCATTTGTCCAACAATCTAGTAGTAATTTTGTACCTCCCATAATCATTCCCAAGTGGGCCCTTATTTTCTTATTACTAGTGCAACTGTTATTTTTGGTCGAACTACTTTTGCAATTGTCGTGTTCATCTCTATATGAGAACATTTTGTTGTTCGTCCTAAAAAAATCAGTATTCTTGCTTCTTCATTTTTGCAGGAGATCGAGTGAAGTACATCGGGCCTTCTATACGTGTTGAAGCTGATAACAGGTTCTGAATTATTTCTTTCATTTGTTTGCTCCATTTAATGTTGAGTAGATCTAACAGTATCTTTGACATTTTCTGCACTGAGGAATTCATTTTTTTTGTGGCGTTGAATAAAAAGATGATTTTCAAATTTTGAGAACTCATGAGATTAAAGTGTATTTTGAAGTTCATGAATGCTACTTTCTTTCCATTGTTTTGGATAATGAAACTTGTGTACTTCAAAAAGAAAATATAGGTCCCTTCCGGGGATTCTGGCAAGGCATATATGCCTTTTGCACCTAGGTGAGGGGCTTTTGGCAAGATTTATTGTGTATAATTGATATTGCCTCGTTAGCTTAAAAGAATAAAGTTGGCACCAATCGTGAGCTCCAAAGGATTTTGTTTGTACAAGTCTTTGATGCAATTTTGTCAATTCTCTACAAATATTTTACGTTTTCAATTCTGTTTCTTGGGGGGAATTTAATGAGCTAGCATGTTTTTGAGTTAAGTTCCATCAGTTTGTCTCGTACCAGCCTAGGATTTTTGCCAGAATTGGTGGATGAGACAGTGTTGAACCCCAGATTTTTTAGATCTTGCTGGAAAAATTACAAGCGTGCTGCCTAGAATATCATCTCTGTGGCCTATCTTTCAAAACCCTTTAGGATGATATCATCCCCAAATGAACTCTGACTCCGCCCTCACCTGACATTGACATATATAATGCAATACAGGGTCCTGTTGGGTAAGATATCTACATCTGATGGTCCAAGGAATGCTTATACCATCTTCCGTAGCAGGTGGGTTGGTAAGTTGTCATGTGTAGGGGGAGAAATACAGCAGAACATTCTTAGATTCTCCATTTGGTTTTCTCTAGAAAGCTTTTGCTTTTTCGCATACCTTTTTTCTCTTTGGACCTAAGTTTGACCCTTGTACTTCCATAGTCTAGTCTCTATCCATGTTCCATTGTCTCCATTAAGTATGGGGGCTTATTCAGGTTTAGTAAAAAGATGTTAGTGGTTTTCAACCATGATTTAGCACAAATGTTTCGACTCCTTTTAGAGGTTATGTGGGTGTATTGCTAGAAGTTTGTTGTCCACTTGTCATATACTTTGCTATAACATATTTTGGACTATTCCAGTTTATGCCCTGCATAACCCACCTAATGGTAAAATTTCTGTCTTTTTGTGTTTGTGCTGCTTTTATGTGGTACATACATGTAACTATCTATGATTTTGGAAGCTATGCAACTGTTTTGCATGTAGTCTCTTTCTTCCTGTATCAGTTTTCTGTTTTGCTATTAGAAAATTCAAAATACTCGTAGTAGTTTCAGTAGTATAGTTATTTAATTCATGGCTGCAGTTGATTTACACTTGTTATTCTGAAATCTTGTTACTTAATGAATTTGACATCTGTACAGGCCTTTACCAAAGGGTCAACGAGGGGAGGTATATGAGGTGAGTGGAGATCGAGTTGCTGTTCTTTTGGATGTTAAACAGAAGACAGGAACTGAAGTGGATGAAGAGGAGAAGGTAGCAGGGCAGCCTGCAGATCCACCGGTTTATTGGATACTTGGTAATGCGGATTTTTTAATTTTTGTTCATTTTTGTTGCTAGACTTGGGAGATTACTTTATGCTCTGATTTCCTTTGTTTAAGACTTCATCAATTTTGACAGACAATTTACTGTTGCATTGTTCATGTGAATGTTACGACCAATATACAGACAAGTTGCTTTATGATTTGCAAACTGATAATCTCCACCAGTTCTATTTAATTATGCATATGGCCTATCAGATCAACTTATGACATGATTAAATGTAACTTAAGCAATCTAATACAAGTGTAGGGCTTCATTGTTCCATGGTTATAATTCTAGGATTGCATAATGTTATTACTCATACCGAGGCTGTTCATATTATCATTTTCTGTTTTTGCTTTTGTACTCCTAGTGTTTTTGTATTCTTGACTCATGTTGTTTAATTGTGAATTTCATCGGTGCTAATAAATTCCAGTAGATACTTTGGATAAGGAAATTGAAACAAAAGGCTGCATTAGATGGAATAGCAGGTGGCTTATTACCATTAGCTGAATTTTATGGATGAAAAAGATCGTATTTTCGGTTCTCTACACAGTTGGTTATGGTTTTAATTTGATATAGCTTAAGGTGTTGACGGAAATTCTGGTAGCGACTCTTTTAGTTATAGAATGACAGATTTCCATTTTGTACAGCTAAGGAAATCGAGCATATTCCTGACCCACGGACTGAGGATTGTTATATTGCAATGGAGGCCCTATGTGAGGTGTGGTACACAATACCAAAGGATAAGAACTTTGTCTTCTGACGCGTGAGGTTGTCCATCTATAAACTGTATCTGGATTTTCATTGCTTGCAGGTATTGCATGCCAAGCAACCTCTTATTGTCTATTTTCCAGACTCTTCTCAATGGATGTCTAGGGCAGTTCCCAAGTCAGATCGCAAGGAGTTTGTCGCTAAGGTGAAAGCAGTTTTTGACGAGTTGTCGGGTCCTGTTGTTTTGATTTGCGGGCAGAACAAAGTTGAATCCGGGTCAAAGGAGAAAGAGAAATTTGTAAGTGTTAAGGATTCGTTTTTGTTGGATCTCTATATGTTTTGTTTGCTTACTTGTTTCTGATTAATGGATAACTATTTGTAGTTTATTACTAACACTTTCCCCCTACAAATACTCTGCTACAGACAATGATACTTCCAAATTTTGGGCGTCTTGCAAAGCTGGTAATCCTCTTTATTCTTAAGGAGCACAATGTACTTGGCACAAACAGTAATGCATAAATCTGTGTTTGAGAAATTCGTGTTATTTTTCTTCTCCTTGGATTATCAAAAACTTTTTTCTGCTTTTGGAGTTTCTATATAGTTTTCACCAGTTGAAGATTTACATGTTTCTTCCTTAGATGCAAGGTGATGTTTTCCCTAAAATTATGTTGTGTCCCTTTTACTTAAATTAACAAATTGCTTGTTTTTTGTTTCAAGCCTCTCTCTCTTAAGCGTCTTACAGAGGGACTTAAAGGAACAAAGAAATCAGATGACAATGAAATATATAAGCTATTCACAAATGTTTTCTGCGTTTATCCGCCAAAGGTAAATGTTGGTCTTCCTCCTGCATAAATGTGTGTTACCACTGTCTACATACTTTACACGCATAAGCATACACACAGATATACAAATGTGATTACTTTTCCTTTTTTTTTGTGGTTTCACACTCGTTCTGTTTCCTCATCCTTTTTACTTTTGCAGGAGGAAGAGGATCTTCGAACATTCAATAAACAGATTGAAGAAGACAGAAGAATTGTGATAGCAAGGAGCAATTTAAATGAATTACATGAGGTATCCTCTAGTTGTGAAATTCACATGAGTGATTGGTGAAGTACTGTGCGATGTATTTGTGCCACTACTAGTCTATTTCGGGGGCTTTTTGTTCTTCAAACCTCCTTACTTATTGAATTATTTTGAGCTATTGTAGGTTCTTGAGGAAAATGAGCTCTCATGCAATGACTTATTGCTAGTAGACACTGATGGTGTAATCTTGACAAAGCGAAGTAAGAAATCCTAACTTGAGCATTTTTCCTTGTTAAGAAACAGAAAAAAATACTAAGTTTCTGTTGTAATATGGAGTTTTGAAGTTTATAAGTTGGATATGTAGGTGGTGAATTACCATATATGCCGGTCTAGTATGTGGATTGCTTGTCAACGGCTCATATAAAATCTGTAACTTTGACCTTTGCAATATGTTTTTTCTCTGTTTCCAAAAAAGAGGATATTGTTGACTTTAATCATGCTAGGGATCTGCACTAGTCAATATAGAATCTAGAGTAGGGCATTCCTGGAGTGTTACAGCTAGTATGCGTTTTTTTTTTTCAATTCCAGAAATTTTCAAATGATTCAGTTTTATTCAATAGTTTTACCTGTTTATTTCCCAGAGGCTGAGAGAGTAGTTGGCTGGGCAAAAAACCATTACTTGTCATCATGCCTTCTTCCTTCTGTTAAAGGTGAAAGATTGCATCTGCCTTGTGAAAGGTACATGTTTCATCTGTCGTAGATAGTATTTAAAAATTTTATGTTACCCTGCCGTTTAACACTTCTGTTACTTTTGTGAAGCCTTGAAATAGCAATTTCACGTTTGAAGGAGCAAGAAAGTTTGTCTCGGAAGCCCTCTCAAAATTTGAAGGCATGTATTTAATTGGCTCATACTAAATGTTAAGTATTTGAGTTTTTTGTATCTTGTTTCACCTTTAACATATATAAACTGTTGCAGAACCTAGCAAAGGATGAATATGAGAGCAACTTTGTTTCAGCAGTAGTACCTCCTGGTGAAATTGGTGTTAGGTTTGATGATGTCGGTGCTCTGGAGGACGTGAAGAGAGCGCTGAATGAACTTGTCATTCTTCCAATGAGGAGACCGGAGCTTTTCTCTCATGGAAACTTGTTGCGGGTATTTATTTTAATCTTGCGCATTATTTGCATTAATGCTTGAATGAGTGCCTAACCATGTGATGCTGCATGGTTAGCCTTGCAAAGGAATATTACTTTTTGGGCCTCCTGGAACTGGGAAGACCCTTCTTGCCAAGGCACTCGCAACAGAAGCTGGGACGAACTTTATCAGCATAACTGGTTCTACTCTAACATCAAAGGTATGCTTTCGAGTATAGATCTGGCAGTGGTTAGTTTAATTTCACGAACCAAATAACAAGCTATGTTTCTGTTAAATGCTTATCTTTTTAACTTTTTTTGATACAGTGGTTTGGAGATGCTGAAAAGCTGACCAAGGCTCTCTTCTCCTTTGCCAGCAAGCTTGCTCCCGTCATAATATTTGTTGATGAGGTGAGGTTTTCAGTTTTGAGGAATTAAAAGAATAATGATGTACAACAATCTAGTTCCTTTTGTTTTCTTTTTGAACCCAGAATTTGACCATCCTGTTAAATATTCTCTGTTGTAGGTTGATAGTTTGCTTGGTGCTCGTGGTGGGTCTTTTGAGCATGAGGCAACTAGAAGAATGAGAAATGAGTTCATGGCAGCTTGGGATGGATTGAGGTCCAAAGACAGTCAAAGAATCCTCATTCTTGGCGCCACAAATCGACCATTTGACCTTGATGATGCTGTCATTCGTCGGTTACCAAGAAGGTGTGGTTGATTTATTCCATATTGGTTACGATGGTTCTGTCAATTGTTCGTCTCTGTCTTGCCAGATTGGTTATGGTATTCTTTGATAGTAGATTATCCTCATATGGCAAAAAATTAATTAAAATAAAGTTCAAACAATGTTGACCGAGTTATGTTGGTTGCTTCGTAGGATATATGTTGATTTACCTGATGTTGAAAATCGTAAGAAGATATTGAGTATATTTCTTGCTCAAGAGAATCTAGCACTTGGTTTCCAATTTGACAAACTTTCAGAAGCAACGGAGGGATACTCTGGCAGCGATTTGAAGAACCTCTGCATTGCTGCTGCTTATAGACCTGTCCAGGAGCTTTTAGAAGAAGAAAAGAAGGTAATATGCATTTTTGTTGTTTGTAATGTCAGTGTCAGTTTCTCGTTGGTTCCATTTACGGGCCTGTCAAAGTGTTTGAGTTCTATTTTAATTTTGGGTGTGCCTTGGGAGGAATAAATTTTTGCTGCTATTTTCTCAAATTTCTATTGTCCTGTTGAATATCTTCACCTTCTTTTTCATTGTGCGTAAAGTTTTGTACTGATTTCAGTGTGCCAATTGGTGGTGTTTGGTTACTCATTGCGCAGGACATAAAAATTGACGCTTCTACGGTGTTAAGGCCGCTGACTCTTGATGATTTTATTCAATCAAAAGCCAAGGTAAAGAATTTAAGATAGATGAATTTGTTATGTTTACTTTTCGAGGATACATCTACAGGTAATATTTATGCTGAAATGTCAGTTACTTATTTCTATCTTGATTATGTAGGTTGGGCCATCAGTTTCCTACGATGCTTCAAGCATGAACGAACTTAGGAAATGGAATGAACAATACGGAGAAGGCGGAAGCAGAAGAAAATCACCATTTGGTTTTTGAAACTGATCTTACAGTGTTCTTTAACATAGTCTTCGTAGAGAAAGGAAACGCCCTGCTTTAAAGGCTTCCATTCGTTGAGGGAGAAGGAAGATGAAAAGCCGAAACGCAGACGCTTTTCGTTACTCATTATGCGTTCTTGGAGAACAAAGAAAGAAGATAAGAGAGGCCCAAATTTGGAGGCGGCTTTGGGTAACAGTAGGAGGCAAAACCCTCCGTTTTCCCATCCCTTTTTGAGCGGATGAGAGAAGTGAAAAGCCCCCAACAAAATAATTTACTATCTTTATCTTTATATACAAAATTTTCCCAATTTTTCATGCCTTGTAAAATAACAGCATTGTTTTAGTAATTTTAGATTTTTCAGATTAAATTAATTTTCTCATTTTTTTTTTTTTTTTTTTATCAATTTTTCATGGCTCCGATGTTTCTAGAAAATCTTGATCAGTCTTCCGGTGAGATCTCATAATCATTTCAAATTTCTTTTTGGACGATAGTCTATATTGAATTAATGTGAATTACAGAAAGATGAATTCAAACTTGATTGTGACGAGAGAAGTACATTGCTCTAACCATGCTTGCTAATCCTCTGTTTGCTATTTAAGAAAACTTTGATTAGTCTTATTAGGGTGAGATCCCGATAATTTCGAACTTTTTTATGAGCCCTGGACTGACAAAGTTTTGAAGCAAAATGGAGAGGTGTAAGCTAGTCCGACTAGGATTTCTTATAAGAGTGTTTTAACCGTTAAATTTGATTTTAACAACAGTTATAAATCTTCTATTGTCAAATCCCAACCATTTATTTCTATTATTATTCAATACTGCATATTATTGAATTTTTTATGTTTTTGTTCAAAAAAGTAAATTCTTCTTCACGCAATTTTTTTTTTTTTTCCAAATGGTAGATTTTGTTAAATTAAATGTTAGATTACTCACTGACAGAATTCAAACCCATACCCGTCATGAAATGACTCAACTCATTCTCAATACTATGTTAAGGGGTCACTTGCAAATTCTTCTTCACACTCTTATGAACTCCTTGATATTTCCGTATGTGGGTGTAATAGAGGCAAAAGCCCAAACAAACTTCTGGACAATTATAGGCCCAAGGAGTGACAAACGCACTTGTTTATCGTACGGTTCAGGTTCAAAGAAATCAAAACGCACAGCATGATGCACACGCTTACATGCGTGCCTGTCAAAAACCCTAACCCCTCACGCTGATTCCCAAATTGTATAAATAGAGAGCAGCATCGATAATTATTCTACGCTCACTCCCACCGCTCCCAAAATCCCTACAACCCTAAACCCTAGGGTTTTTCAGAGCAGCCAGCCTCCGCCCCTCTGTTCTTTGTTCTTCCCATATTTCATATCGAAACCCTAGCTTAATCTCCCAAATGGGCAAATCAAGCAAGAAATCCGCCACCAAAGTATGATTCTTTTGAACTGCTTTCGCTTCGTCAAGTCTTCGGTTTTGTTTCGATGATTTCGTTTACTAATTGGGTTTTGATTTTCCGTACAGGTTGAGGCTCCCGCTGTAGTTGTTCCAACTCCGAAGTCTGGAAAGAAAGGTTTCGATTCTTTTCGGAGTTTTGGGAAATTTTTGTTTTGATTTTATTTTATTTATTTGTTGTGCTATGGTGTTTTTATCCGTTGATAGTGTAGTTTGAATGTTTAAATTTTGCATATTTGCTTTGTTTTGAGATATTTTTATTTCGGATGTTGGTTATTGAATTTGTTGTGGTTGTGGTTGTGTTGAGAAGGTAAGAGAGATGCTGAGAACGAAATAGAGAAGGTTGTGAGCGCAAAGAAGCAGAAGATTGACGAGGGCATAGCGCAGGCCATTCAGAAGAAGAAAGTTGAAGCAAAGACCCAGAAGAAGAAAGTGGAGACTAGTAGTTCCGAGGAGGAGTCTGATGTGTCTTCTGACTCTGACGTGAAGGTTTATTACGCTACACACTTGTTTTTTCTTGTTTGTTTATGAGATAGTGTTATTATGTGTTTATTTGTATGGGTTATTCTTTGTGTATTATTCTTAACATGTGCACTTAAAATAATATTATGCATGTTTAATGTCCCAGAATTTTGAATTTTGAGAAAGTAGACTTCATCATTTTGGTTTTGGAGTTGACATTCTATTTGGTTCGACGATGACCCTAAAAGTTCATGTTGATGAGTAATTGGTTTGGATGTTTACTTACCCTTTTCTTACTACTTGGGAAAAACATTTATGGCGTTATTTTTACTCAGAAACCTGCTCCCAAGGCTGCTAAAAATGGTAAAAGTAAGCCATCTAGCAGTTCTGAATCAGATGATTCAGACTCTGATGAAGTGAGTATTCATTTTATTTTAATGTCAGTGTGGTTGATAGAGTTGTCCAATTTATTATGAGACTTATTTGTGTTGTATGATATAGGAACCTGCTGCCAAGCCTTCCGCTCCCTTAAAAAAGTCAGTTCCTGCTAAAAAAGCTGTGTCATCGAGCAGTGATGATTCATCGGATGAGGAATCTGATGAGGAGGAAGTGAGTTTTTTATTTGATTTATTTTTACAAATAAAACTACTGATGCACGTAAACTTTTGTTTATTTATTGTGTTTTATTCCTGATTTTGAAAGTAGAGTGGCTATTTTTAAGTGTGCGTTACTGCTTGGTTTTAGGCTCCTAAATCTAAGGTAGCTGCTAAGAGTGGCCCAACTGCTGCTATAAAGAAGAAAGATGTCTCAACTGAAAGCTCAGATGAGAGTAGCGATGATTCGGAAGATGATGATGTGAGTTTTTGGTTTTCCAAACTTGGTGCTGTAATTTATTTTTGCCTTGGGGGTTATTGTATGGGTCATGCACGTGAAGATTGATTCAGTGATAACTGTATATTTGGGGTACTGTACTTTGTGTTTGTAGAAAACCCGTGCAAAGGTTACTGCCCAAAAGCCAGCTGCAGCTGCTAAGAAAGGCCCAGTAGTGCCTGTTAAGAAGGCAGACACTAGCAGCTCTGAGTCTGAAGAGAGCTCTGAATCTGAAGATGAGGTGTGTGCTCAAGCTTGATAATTTGTATCATCTTAAGGAATCACACTATAGTGCGGGATCTGGTTTTCCAAACTTGGTGCTGTAATTTTTTTTTCCATAGGTGTTATTGTATAGGACATGCTCGTGAAGATTGAATCAGTGAAAACTGTATATTGGGATACTGTACTGTGTATTTTGTCCTTTGTTAGATTGTGAAAGGTACCTTTTGGTTGATAGTGATCCTCTACTTTTGTGTTTCTAGAAAACCCCTGCAAAGGTTACTGCCCAAAAGCCGGCTGCAGCTGCTAAGAAAGGCCCATCAGTTCCTGTTAAGAAAGCAGACACTAGCAGCTCCGAGTCTGAAGAGAGCTCTGAATCTGAAGAAGAGGTTTGTGCTCAAGCTTAAATATTTGTATCATCTGAAGGATTTACTCTAGTAGGTTGAGCCATTTTAATTTGGGTTTTCAGTAAATAGTTTGAATGTTAATCTTTCTGAACATGTTTAGGAAGTTGTGAAAAAAGTATCTGCTGTAATCCCTAAAGGAAAGGATGTTTCAAGCTCCTCTGATGATAGTTCAGAGGAGGATTCTGATGATAGTTCAGAGGAAGTGAAGGTTTGTTTCTATTTAAATTCCTATTGGATGTGTTGCAGCTAGTAAAGTTTGATGCTCTAGCTTTTATTTAGTGTCACATGTGAAGGCAGAAAGCCCTTTAATGTTACTCTTTTTGGTGGACAGGATAAATATTGGTTTCTTGTATTTTTTTTTTTTAAGTATTTAAAGCGGTTTGGTGATGGAATTAAGTAATTTATTTTGTTGCAGGGTACCACAAAAACTGTTGCCCCTGCTGCTAAGAGTGTTAAGCCATCCAAAAAGGATGAGGATTCAAGTGACTCTGATGAGGATATGGAGGATGGTGACTCTGATAGTTCAGAGGAGGAACCTCCAAAGACTAGAGAAAGTAAAGGTGATAGTTTTTGGGTTTACATTCAGCATTAGATTGTAATGTTTTTGGGACTTGTAGTCATGCCTCTTTGGATTCTTGCAGCCTTCTCAAGTTTCAAAGCAAGATAGCAGTGAGTCAGAGGAGGAATCCAGTTCTGACTGAAGAAGAGGAAGATCAACCTGCAAAGACTCCCAAGAAAAAGGTAATTTTACTGAGCTAGTGTGATATTAGTTTGTTTTAGGTGATGCTTGTTGGATCTCTTATTCATTAGGACTTGTGGCTTAATAGGATGCTCTAGGGGTACATGAATTTTCCAACTCTAATATCTGCATTATCTGTAATTATATTATTATCTGTACATATCTGCACCATTGTATACTAAATTTTTGTGTCTATAAATGTTTCTTGCATAGCAGAATGCTTTTACATTACTACTGAACAAAGTAATATTAGATTTATGTACCCCACCCGTGTGACTAATGTTATACTATATTATTTTTGTGAACAGGACACTGACGTGAAAATGGTAGATGCTGAGTCTGAGAAGAAGCTGTAATTGACCCTTCCTCCCTTTTGTCAATTGTACTTTCAGCTTATCCTATGATAAATGTTCTGATTTTGTAATAATGGTTTTGCAGCCCAAAACCCCAGCTACTCCTGACGTATCGACTTCTAAGACGCTGTTCGCTGGAAACCTGAACTTCCGTATTGAGGAACACGATTTGTAAGTGTATACGTTGATTTAAGCTTGTGTTATGTTTTAGGTTCTTTCAACTAATAGTACTATTTTATGCAGGAGGAATTTCTTCAAAGATGCTGGCGAAGTTGTTGATATCCGTTTTGCCTCAGATCCAGAAGGGAAGTTCAAGGGCTTTGGACATGTTGAGTTTGCCACAGCTGAAGCAGCAAGGAAGGTATGACTTTTATTTCGTCTTTTTTCTTTGACATTGACACTTTCTTTGTGGAATCTGTAGTAATCTTTTTGTTTTTGTTTTTTTTTTTTGTTTCTGTTGCTAAACTATTAAGCTTTTGTTATTGCAGGCTCTTGAACTTAATGGTTTAGATTTGCTTGGTCGTGATATCAGACTTGATCTGGCTCGTGAAAGGGGTGAAAGGGGTGCTTATACTCCCACCGGGTACATTGCAACTTGTAACTGCTTCATTTGTTGTTTTGTTTTGGTGTTGTCATCAAATTAGTTTCTTACTTTTATTGATAATAATTTCAGAAGAGAGGGCAACTCATATCAGAAGGGACCACGCGGTGCGTCCAAAACAATATTTGTTCGAGGTTTTGACAGATCCCTTGGGGAGGATGAGGTATATACTGCTCGAGGAATTCGAGCTCTGTTGTCTAATTAATGTTGAGATTCTTTTTCAAGTGTAACTAGTTTCATTTTACAGATCAGGAGCTCCTTACAAGAAGCTTTTAGTTCTTGTGGTGAGATAACAAGGGTGTCCATCCCCAAAGATTATGAGACTGGCGCCTCTAAAGGGTCTGTACAATGTCTAGTGCTGATTTTTTTTTTATATGTATTTCCAGCTTACTACATGTGCAATTGTATCTCTCTGTTTTTCTTTTTCCATTGGTGGTGGTGGTTCTACACATTATGTGTGCCTTGTTTGATAAATTGTGTTGATAAAATGCAGGATGGCTTACATGGACTTCTCGGATGCCGCCAGCTTCAACAAAGCTCTAGAATTTAATGGACAAGAATTTGGAGACAGTTACTTGCAGGTGGAAGAGGCAAAACCAAAAGGTGATTTTGGTACTCCCAGGAGTAATGACAGGGGTTATTCCAGTAATCGTGGTGGAGGACGTTTTAGCAACAGCGGCAGGGGGGGTAGGGATGGTGGTGGACGTGGTTTCAGGGACAGTGGACGAGGCAGAGGACGTGGAAACAAACCAAACCTAGCTGCTCCTGGAACAGGTAGGCATTTTTATTATTCTCTTTTTCAATGCAAGTGTTTAGGATAGGCTGTGATGCTCTCGGTAATTCTTAACCAATTCCCATGTTGTACTAAATGGTGCAGGGAAGAAAACCACCTTCGACGACGAGTAGACTAGACTAGACTTGTGAGTGGTTGGTCGGGGGCCAAGGGAAATTGTGGAAGACTTATGTTTAGCTGTTTTTATTTTATCATATTTTATTATTTTAATTTTGAGAGGCATGTCTGGTTTTGACCTTTCCTTTACGTGGACATGAACTTGAACGCAAGAGTGAACCTACTATTGAATTTTTGGATTTATGACTCTAATTAATTTTGAGCGTTAATATAATTTACTTGAATTATTTTGGATCTCCGGCAACCGAAGCAGCAGCACCACTTTCCCTGTTGTAGCTACTCTTGTTGCCCGCCCCTGCATATGGAACCAAATATAATTTTCTCCGTAAGCAAGACGCTTGGTAACAACTAACAACTAGTGCTTAATTATAACATCCCCACACCATTGACTGAGCGGGATTCCAGGTCCCATCAGAGGCTGTGACAACGCTTGCCAAGGGTCTTATGCGATCCCTACAGAGTGTTTAAGGAGACGCAATAATGCCTACGTTGTGTTCGATAATGCTCGCCCGCCACATCTTTAAATCTTGCGGCGGCGGCACTAATGCATTATTGCGTCGACAGTAGGGCGGGATGGCTAGGCAGTTAGTTGTGTGATATCACGAAATGATTTGAATTTTGGCTTATAATGATCTTTGTAAAATTCCCAAAATTGATTGGAAGTGTGGTTTATAACTCACAATTTTTGTGAAAAAATATTGATTTTTTAATTTAAGAAATATTCTGTGGTAGTTAAGGAAAAAGATAATGCTAGAGAGACCAAAATATTGATGATTAACGTACTAATTTTTTATTGGTGTCACATCAATTAGTTTGCAAATTAGGTTTAAAATTTTGGTCTCACTAGCATTACCCTAGGGAAAATATTGCAAGACCTTTGCATCTAATCCTATAATTTGTTAGGTCTCGAAACTATTTTTTATTGATTATTAATATTAAAAAAAACTAAAAATAATTTAAACTTATAGCAGGGACCCAAAGAGATTTGCAAACAATCTTCAAAAAGTCCTAAAATTAATTTTAGGAAACATGTGATGCCACGAGAATTATTTGAATTTTAGCGTATAATGATTCTTGTAAAATTTCCAAAATCGATTGAAAAGTGTGGGTTATAACTCACAGTTTTTGAAGAAAAAAAAATGGGAATTTTTAGTTTCAGGAAATATTTTGCGTGGTAGTTAAGGAAAATTTTGCTAGAAATTTAGATGAGATCCTAACATTTATTAGGTCTCGAAACAAATTTTTATTGATTTTTAAAGTTAAAAAATATAAAAAATAATACAAATTACTAGTGGGGACCCAAAGAGACTTATAGGTGTTGAAAATCTTCGCAATGTCCAAAAATTAATTTTAGGAAACATGCGCTATGACAAGAATGACTCGACTTTTGGCTTATAATGATTATTGTAAAAATTCCCAAGATCGATTGGAGAATGTGGGTTATAACTCATAGTTTTTGGAAAAAAAAAAAAATTGAAACTTTAGTTTTAGGAAATATTTTGCGTGCGAGTTAAGAAAAAAATTGCAAGACCTTTGAACGTGGTCCAACCATTTATTAGGTCCTGAAACTATGTTTTCTTGATTTTTAAAGTTGAAAGATGAAAAAATATAATATAAACTAACAGTGGGGACACAAAGAGATTTGTAAGTATTGAAAATCTTCAGAATGCCCTAAAATTAATTTTAGGAAACATGTGATGCAGTCGAGAATGATTTGAATTTTGGCGTATAATAATTCTTGTAAAATTCCCAAAATCAATTGAAAAGTGTGTGTGATATATATAACTCATAGTTTTGTGAAAAAAATTGGAATTTTTAGTTTCAAGAAATGTTCTGCGTGGTAGTTAAGGAAAATGTTGCAAGACCCTTGGATGAGATCTTAACATTTATTAGGTTCTGAAACTATTTTTTATTAATTTTTAAAGTAGAAAAATAGAAAAAATAATACATACTAATAGTGGGGACCCAAAGAGACTTGTAGGTGTTGAAAATCTTCACAATGTCCTAAAATTAATTTAGGAAAGATGCGCTATAACGAGAATGACTCGACTTTTGGCTTATAATAATTCTTATAAAAATTCCCAAGAACGATTGGAGAATGTGGGTTATAACTCACAGTTTTGGGAAAAAATTAAAATTTTTAGTTTTACGAATTATTTTGTTTGAAAGTTAAGAAAAATATTGCAAGACCTTTGGACGTGGTCCTACCATTTATTAGGTCCCGAAAATATGTTTTCTTGATTTTTAAAGTTGAAAGATGGAAAAGTTAATATAAACTAATAGCAGGGACACGAAGAGATTTGTAAGTGTCAAAAATCTTCAGATGGAAAAGTTAATATAAACTTATAATGGGGACCCAAAGAGATTGTAGGCGTCAGAAATCTTTAGAATATCCCAAAATTAATTTTAGAAAACATGTGATGCGACGAGAATGATTCGAATTTTGGCTTATAATGATTCTTGTAAAATTCTCAGAAGCGATTGAAAAGTGTGGGTATTAACACACGTTTTTTTGTCAAAAATGTAAATTTTATTTTCTAGAAAAATTTTCCGTGAGCATTAAGGAAAATTTTATAAGGCATTTGAAAGCATATTTACAATTTATTGAGCAACAAATAGATATTTAGTAGACTATTTAAGTCGAAAACTAAAAAAATAAGTGAAAAATATAGTAGCAAGTCCTAAAACATTGTTAAAATGGGGTTCCACCCTCAAGAATATAACAAGAAGTACTACTATAATTTTCAAACTTCACGATTAGGCGAAGGTGAAAATAAATAGTTTGAACGACGATTTATGTACGAATTTGTAAAAATCGACTAAAAACTGTGAGTGTTAAACCCACGTTTTTTGTAAAAAAATGCAAATATTTTATTTTTGTGAAATAAGGGAAAAATAAGGTAGTTGGCAGCGGATTTACGATTTATTGAGTAACAAATGGATATTTAGTAGACTATTGAAGGCGAAAACTAAAAAAATAAGTGAAAAATATAGTAGTGAGGCCTAAAACATTGTTAAAATTAGGTTCCTCCCTCCAGAATATCAACGGAAAGTATTACTTTATTTTTCAAACTTCATAGTGGGGTGAAGGTTAAAAGAAATAGTTTGAACGACGATTTGTGTACGAATTTGTAAAAAATCGACTAAAAACTATGAGGGTTAACCCACGTTCTTTTTGTCAAAAATGCAAATTTTTTATTTTCACAAAATATTTTCTATGAGCATTAAGAAAAATTTATAAGGCATTTGGAAGTGGTTTTACAACTTATTGAGCAACAACTGTATATTTAGTAGACTATTTAAATCGAAAACAAAAAAAAAATGAGTGAAAAATATAGTAGTAAGGCCCAAAACATTGTTAAATGGGGTTCCACCATCAAGAATATAACAAAAAGTATTACTATAATTTTCAAATTTCACGGTAAGGCGAAGGTGAAAATAAATAGTTTTAAGGACAATTTATGTACGAATTTGTAGAAACTAACTCAAAACCATGAGTAATTAGCCCACGTTTTTTTTTTCTCAAAAGTGCAATTTTTTATTTTTGCGAAATATTTTCCGTGAACATTAAGGAAAATTTTATAAGGCATTTGGAAGCGGATTTACGATTTATTGAGCAACAAATGTATATTTAGTAGACTATTTACGTCGAAAACTAAAAAAATAAGTGAAAAATATAGTAGTGAGCCCAAAATATTGTTAAAATGGGGTTCCGCCCCCAACAATATTAACGGAAAGTAATTCTTTAATTTTCAAACTTTACAGTGAGACGAAGGTGAAAATAAAGAGTGTGAACAATGATTTACGTACGAATTTGTAAAAACTGACAAAAAAGAGTGAGTGTTAACCCACTTTTTTGTCAAAAATGCAAATTTTTTTTTTTCGCGAAATATTTTCCATGAGCATTAAGAAAAATTATCATGAGGCATTTAGAAGTGGATTTACGATTTATTGTGCATATTTAGCAGACTATTTAAGTTGAAAACTAAAAAAATGAGTGAAGAGTGTAGTAGGGAGGCCCAAAACATTGTTAAAATGGGGTTCCACCCTCAAGAATATAACAAAAAATACTACTATAATTTTCAAACTTCACGGTGAGGCGAAGGTGAATAGTTTGAATGATGATTTATGTACAAATTAGTAAAAACTGACAAAAAAACCGTTAGTGTTAACCCTTTTTTTATGCAAATATTATATTTTCGTGAAACATTTTCCATGAGCATTAAGTAAAATTTATAAGGCAGCTGGAAGAGGACTTAAGATTTTTTGAGAACCAAATGTATATTTAGTAGACTATTTAAGTCGAAAGCCCAAAATATTGTTAAAATTGGGTTGCACCCTTAAGAATATAACGGAAAGTATTACTATAATTTTCAAACATCACGGTGAGGTGATGTGACATCCCACATCGCCCAGGGGAGTGATCCTTATATGTATATTCCCATCTCTACCTAGCACGAGGCCTTTTGGGAGCTCATTGGCTTCGGGTTCCGTAGGAACTCCAAAGTTAAGCGAGAAGGGGGCTTGAGCAATCTCATGATGGGTGACCCACTGGGAAGTTGCTCGTGAGTTCCCAAAAACAAAACCGTGAGGGAATGGTAAGCCCAAAGCGGACAATATCGTGCTACGGTGGTGGAGCGGGCCCGGGAAGTGATGCGCCCCGGGCCGGGATGTGACAGGTGAAGTTCCCACGTTTTTTGGTAAAAAATGAAATCTCTTTTTTTTTTTTTTTTTTTTTTTTGTGAAATATTTTCCACGAGTTTTAAGGAAAACTATATAAGGTGTTTGGAAGCGGGTTTATGATTTATTGAGCAATAAATGTATACTTAGTGAAATATTTAAGCCAGAAACTGAAAGAAGTGAAAAATATTATAGTGAGGACCAAAACATTGTCAAATGGGGTTCCACCCTCAAGAATCTCAATGGAAAGTCTCACCTTAATTTTCAAAACTTCACATTCGGGCGAAAGTGAAAATAGATTGATTGAACGGTGATTTATGTACGAATTTGCAAAACTGACTAAAAGTCGTGATTGTTAACTTTCGTTTTTTTGGTCAAAAATGAAAATTTTTATTTTTGCGAAATATTTTCCGTGAGCATTAAGGAAAACTTTATAAGGTGTTTGGAAGCGGTTTTATGATTTATTGAGCAACAAATGTATACTTAATAGAATATTTAAGCCGAAAACCTAAAAAATAAGTGAAAAATAGAATTGTGAGGACCAAAA